GTAAGAATTGCTGGATTGCCTATAAGGTTATGGAGTGAACCAAATTTCTCTGCCATTGTGTAGAAGTTCAGGAAGATAATTATTCTGTTTGATCATACTGGGGATAGAATGGACCTCTCAGTAGTAAAAATCGGCATCCTTACGGAAGAAAAGAAAAAGTTCAATGAAGTTATTAAGACTGAAGTTGGTGAAGAAACGTTTGACATTGGTATGGTTGAGTATGAAGATGAACCATGGTTTCCCTTCAAGTTCGATGATGTTGATCAACCATATCAATCTGAACCTGAAGATAATTCTGACGGGGACACAAAAGTTGTTGAATCCGACAAAGATGATGGTGTGCATGGTTCTAATGAAGATGAAGATGATATTTCAGATACATGGATGGATGATATTGAAGATGGTGAAATAGTTAGAGATGTGAATATGAAAAGCAATGGAATTAGATGTTGTGGGATTGTCGATGAAGAAGTATCTTCCGATGGCCCGGATGCAGCAGCAGTCCCGAACCAAGCACCTACGGCGATCTTGGAATCTGAAAAGGAATTTACTCATTACAATGAAGCGAAAACGATTCCAGTTCCCACTGATACTGGCCTAACTGATGATAATGAAGCATGTGGAGATAAGCCTAAGGAACTCGATCGGGGCACAGTTGGCCTGGCCATACAGGATGCTTGTAAAATGGATAGTCCGCTATTGGGCTCCCTAAGGCCCATTTCGCCCACCTCCTTCCCTTCCATGTTAGCCTAGTCGGTTTGTTTTGGACCGTTTCCATACAACAAGCAGACCCCTTCCCCCACTTATCAAACACCCCAACTGCAAGGTATCAATATTGGGCATTCATTAAAAAAGGCGATTCTCTCAAGTCCTCTCCCCGACAAGAGACTTATTACAGTACCCTGTCCAAGCTTTATTTCATGATGGAGATGAAAACGTATCAACACCTGACTCGCATCAGAATGAGATGGTACCAAGATCTTCCCTCAATCAACCTCCAGATGCTAATAAATCTATTCAAATCAACGAAATCAAAGCAACATCTGAAATTGGGGGCTATGCTTGGATTTGAGATCGATGCCAACAACAAATTGTTGGCAGGAATCCTAGGAGTATCAGGTGAGACAAGAACTTCCAAATGAATTTTCTGTCCATCAACATCAGGGGAATAGGGGAGAAATATAAGGTGGATTGGATTCGAACATTAAAATCAAAGTATAGAATATCCTTCTTAGCAATACAAGAGACACAATTACTTGAGGTAGAAAACATCAATGCTCAAGCTTGTTGGGGTGCAGAAAACTTTTGAGATAGTCGTGTAAATTCATCAGGTAGGTATGGGGGTTTGTTGAACTTGTGGGACAGGGACTTGTTTAATTCGCTTGAGTTTATTTCATCTAGACATTACTTAATCAACATTGGCACTTGGAGGGGTATTAATGAGAATGTGATTTGTGCTAATATTTATGGGCCTCAATCCATTCTTGAGAAAGAGGCATTATGGAAAGAATTAATTGGCTTAAAAAACTCTAAGACAAGAATTTGGATTATGATGGGCGACTTTAATGTGGTAAAAAGGAGTGAGGAGAGGTTAAATTCAATCTTCTGCCCAAGAGCTGCTAAGGAATTCAATAATTTCATACATGAATCAGGCCTCATAGATCTGAAAATGGGGGGCCATCGCTTCACATGTTTTCGTAATTCAGATCTTAAACTTAGTAAGTTAGATCGATTCCTGGTTTGCCCAAGATTTTTAAATCTTATTACTAATGTCTCGGTTACTGCTCTCCCAAGGGAAATTTCGGATCACTGTCCCATTCTGTTGTCCTCGGCTCGTAGAGACTTTGGTCCTTCCCCATTTAGATTCTTTAACTCCTGGCTGTTAAGGGACGATTTCGAAAAGACATTCATATCCAGTTGGAATAATTTCGTTGGATTTGGTACCCTTGACTTGTATCTAGCTGCTAAACTCAAACACATCAAGAAAGGATTGAAAGAATGGAGAGCATCTGCCCATCCTAAAGAGGAATTTGAATTGTCTCGACTCAAGAAGTTGATGGACCAACTTGATATGGCAGCCGAGACAAGACAATTAACGGAGGATGAGATCAAGGTTCGTAGTTCGGGGTATAAATCAATAGTTGAGCTGGAAAAAATCAAGGCCCTTGATCTTAGACAAAAATCTAGGATCAAATGGGCTATATATGGGGACGAAAACACTAGGTTTTTTCACGCACATATAAACAAAAACAATCGTAAGAGCTCGATAGATGGTCTGTTGATCAATGGGGAATGGTGTACAGATCCAACATCTATAAAACAGGAGGTATATTCATTTTTCTTTGAAAAAATACAATGAAAAGTTCCCTGTCAGGCCGAAATTAATCAATCACCGCTTCAAGAAAATTTCTAGCGAAGAAATGCAATAGTTGGAATCTCCTATTTCCCTGTGTAGAATTAAGAATGCAATGTGGGCGTGTGGTAATGAGAAGGCACCGGGGCCTGACGGTTTCACGTTTAAATTTATCAAAAAATATTGGGAGGTTCTCTTGGGTGACATTGCAGCGGTTGTTAAATATTTCGAGAGTTATGGGAATCTTGACTCGTCTTGTAACTCTTCTTTCATATCGTTGGTGCCTAAAATCAAGGATCCCCTTCTAATCAGTGACTATAGACCGATCAGTCTTATAGGCTGCGTTTACAAAATCATCTCCAAAATTCTTTCGTTGAGACTGAAGAATGTCGTGGGGAAGTGCATTGACGAGGCGCAATCAGCGTATATTGAAGGTCGGAACATATTGGAAGGGCCCCTGGTTGTGAATGAAGTTTGCTCCTCGGCAAAAAAGAATAAAAAGAAGATACTTCTTTTCAAGGTTGATTTTGATAAAGCCTTTGATTCATTAAATTGGGATTTCCTTGACTCAAATTTAGTGAAGATGGGATTCAGCAACAAAATAAGAATGTGGTTAAAAGGATGTCTTGTTTCCTCCAAGTCCTTAGTACTTGTAAATGGCTGCCCAACCGAAGAATTCTCTATATCCAAAGGGGTCAAACAAGGCGATCCACTCTCACCGTTTCTGTTTATTATAGCCATGGAGGGTCTTGGTGTAACGATGAAGTCGGCGTGTGAACTAGGCATCTTCCATGGGATTAATTTGCCAAATGGGGGGCCAACACTCTCCCACTTGCTATATGCGAATGATGCTCTTTTCTTGGGGGAGTGGTCAAAGCAAAACATCAAGAACCTATCACGCATCTTAAACTGCTTCCATGTTGCATCGGGGCTTAGAGTCAATTTCAATAAATCTAGAGTATTTGGAATTGGTGTTGACACTCAGGAGGTGAAAAATTAGGCGAGACCTCTAGGATGTGAACCGTCCTCCCTTCCTTTTACCTATCTTGGTGTCCCGGTTGGAGCCAATATGAAGTTGAAGAAACATTGGAAGCTGATCATAGACAGATTCAAAGAAAAACTTTCAAAGTGGAAATCTAAAAATCTATCCTTCGGTGGTAGATTGACCCTCATCCAATCAGTCCTCGGCAACTTCCCAACTTATTATTTATCTTTATTTGTGGCTCCAGAGGGCGTCATCAAAACTCTTGACAGGTTAAGGAACAGATTCCTTTGAGGTGGATCATATGAGAGGAAGGTTATTCACTAGATTTCGTGGGACAAAGTGACAGCCCCTAAAGATTCGGGTGGACTTAGCGTTGACACGATAAAAGCCCTGAACATATCCCTCACTATGAAATGGTGGTGGAAGCTTAGAACCAAACCTGGATAATTATGGGCAACAATCATATACAGTGTGCACAATATTCGATCATATACAGTGTGCACAATCTTCTTTCCAAACCTGACGTTTGTTACTTGATGAAGACTTTACCCGGGGTATGGAACAACATTGCAGGTATAAAGAATGATCTCATGAAAAAGAACATCCCTGTTTTCTCGGTGTTTTCCAAGCATCAAGGCCCCACATGTGAAATCTAGAAATATGGCTTAACTCTGGATGGTTCATATTTGGTGTGTGCCCTGAGGAATAAATGGGACTATAGATCCCCTACCATTGATTCTAATTTTCAATGGCTTAAAGAAATACCACTGAAAGTATCATGCTTCATCCGGAGGGCGCAAGCGGGCATAATTCCAACCGTAAATGAACTATCAAAAAGAGGGGTATATGTGGAATCATTGACTTGTCAGATGTGTGAGAAGATAGAAGAATGTCCAGACCATACTTTTGTGGCATGCTCTTATGCAACGATGGTCACAGAAGGGATATTAAGATGGTGCAGGGTGCAAGCTGGAAGCTTTCATAAGGTGAATCAAATTCTAGAATTTCTTGTCAAGTGGGGATCATGTTCCAAAAGAAGAAGGACTTTTATGGTCATTTGTTACTGTATGCTATGGTCTATTTGGAAAGCAATAAACGATAGAGTTTTAAATAACAACCGGCTGCCACCGGATAAAGTCATATATATTATCAAATCCATAAGCTTTCTTTGGGTGAAAAACAAAGGGTAAAATAAAGAAGTTAGCCTGAGCAAATTGATCTCAATACCCGTTTTCTTAACCTGTAAATTCATATGTTTTATGTTGTTTTATCTTCGTGTTACTCGTGTTTCTGTGTTTTACCACTAGCTTTACGTAGCCTATACTGTTATTTTCCCTATTTTATCTTCTATATTAATCTATTGGTCGATTAAAAAAAAAACTATTTATGGAGGAAACAGTTAATTCCTTATCGGAAACCAAACCAATAAACTGGAAACTCGACGTCGAGGACCAATACAACAAAAATCAAATATACTTTTATACAATTTTTTGGAACACGTTAGCGCACGGGGGCCACGTGCAGCCACTACGTTTGCACACATGGAGTTATTGTGAATGAGGTGTCAACCAGCCACTCACATCTCCCTGAAAGCTGACGTCATTTTCACTACTCTTCTGCTTTTGAGATGATAAGTCGCGAATCGTGTCTTTTCGACCACCTCCTTATCTCAATTCTCCGGAATGGGTCGCCGCCATCTTCTCTACCTTCTCTACACATCTTCAGTACGGCCGCCGTCCTCCACTCCTTACTTTACTGCGCCGCCTCCTCCCCCCGCGTTTCTAACTCGCAAGGTACAGTAATTCAATCAATCGATGTTTTTACAAAACCATGATCATTTGAATTTGTTTTTCTTCTTTCCTTCTTAATCTGATATATCGCCTTGTCACCAACTTTATCGTATCTTGAACGGGATTTGAATGATGGGAGAATTTCATCTACAGAGTTGCCATTGTTGTTTGAGTTCATGGATTTCAACTCGTATTTTGGCCATCGTTTTATGTTTAATTAAGTCGTCGCGTCTTTCAATTTTTGATGTCAAATTTCATTAATTAAACGTTTGATTTTTTTTGCACAAAAAGTTTTTTTGTATCCGACTTTTGGAGAATTGCCCAGAAAATTTTAAAAGTTGGTTTATCTTGGCCAATTCATTTACTTCACGTTTATATTTTGAACTCATCGACCATTGGATAAGATGAAATAAAATCGAAACGATCCTTTTGATGGAAATTAATTGTGTTTAGTTTGATGTTGGAATGAAGGGATACATGAGTAGTCAAGAAAGTAGCAAAGGAAATCATATTCATGCCGATGAAACAATCAACCACGGCAGAGCACCATCGACGCTAGAGGAGTTCAAAAGGCTGGAGGAAGAAAAGGCAAGTCAAGGAGTTGCTAGTCAGACGGTTGAGAAGGCAGAAGATGGTGCCATGGAAGCAGTCGCCGGCGACGGCAGCCTGGAGTCCGTCAAGGAAAGTTTCAAGGAGCCTGTCGGCGTCGGTGATTTCCATAGAACCGGAGATACATGATCAAATGAAGATGCTCCGATCGAAGCACCAAATGAACACTAGCTTGTCTTTCATGTATATATATAAAAAGTCTTTTGAGAGTTGAGATCTTGGACTGTATGTATCTGGCCGAGAAAAATATAATAATCAGCCTACATACAATATATTTACGCGTGTATGTATTAAGCCTTTGAGCTAGCTTTTCTATACAAACATATATGCATTTTAAATTTTATTAAAATTGTAAGCCATGAAGAGTTGGTTGATAAAAAAAAAAAAAAAAAAAAAAATCATCGATTTCTTATATAAATGAAAACTAATTGTAATTAACGGTTGTATTTGATTTTCTCTTTTCAAAGAATTATTGTAATCACTTGATATTTTTTAATAAAAACTCAAACCCTTGAAGAATTGAGCAAGAACTCCTGTGATTTCTGCTCGTAATAGAATTTGGTGGTTAAATTGGTTGAAGCAGATGCATCTGCTGAATATATCATAATCCCATTGATATCGAATCCATTTTCCTCCAAAATATGCAATGCATCGAAGAACGCCTCGCCTTGGATCCCTCTTCCATCGATTTCATAACTCGGCAACACCTTCTCTTTGTCGAACTGCGCCGTCCTCAGCTGGAAATCTTCCAGGTACGCTTCCGTCGTCCTCACTTTATCTGTGTAAAATTGGTGGTTAACATAATCAATAACGCCGCCGTATGCGGCGAATAGTTGCACGTAAGGTATCGTCGTTAGCCGATACGGTGCGATTGTAGCGACTGAAATGACGCTTTGGTTTTTTAGGTAGGTTATGAGTTCGCCAATGCAGTAACTGAAACTTTCGTTATGTTTCGGAAAGTTCTCGTAATCGATATCGATACCATCTAGATTGTAGGTTTGAATTATGGATTTGAGAGATTTAAAGGCGTTTGAGATCCACGTCTGAGAGTTTTCCGGTTGATACCAACGAAGTGTTGTGGAATCGAGACTCCAACCAGAGAGGCTCGCCATAGCTTTTACATTTGGGTGCTTGGATTTAACTGCGGCTACGGACTCCGGCGTTAACGATGACGCCCAGTAAGGTTTGAATATTCCGTTTTGGGGGTTGCCGGAGGCATCTGCGTCTATAGCAAAACTAAGTATGAAGTGGAAGTCGATGCCGTCGTCAATCGGAACCTCGTCCATCGTCACAGGCTTTCCCGTTGCTCCGATGTATTCCATGAATACTTTTCCATCTGAAACAAAGCAAAACAAAATCTGCAAATAAAGTGAAAATACAAAAATCCATTTTGAAAAACAACTCAACCCGCTCATTGTAAGATTAGAAACATTAAGATAAATGCACAACAAATCATACTTTTATTGGTTTTTATAATTGTGTAATTATAATAATTACTTATATTTGTATAACTTACTGCAAAGTTGTAGCAAGGTTAGGATGATGGTGATGATAAAGAACCAAAACCCGCCAAAAATAGTATGGGTTTTCATGTTTTTCTTTGGAGTTGTGTGTTAATGAAAAGCTGATATACTTATGCACATGAACATGTGGATAATTTTGTTTGACTAGTAGGAATAGATTTATATATGAAAAGTTTGTGAGGATCACAAAGAACAAAATTTGTATTAGTTGTCAACGTTAAAAGCCTAGCCGAGACAAAATCACAGAATTTTTAGACTTTGGATACATCTCAGTTTAAGACCTAACGATTTGATTGTCTTTTGGTAGATCACTAGATCCCGTTGAAATATGTAATTATGTCTTTTTAATTGTTGGCTAAATTACATAATTTCGTAATTCACTTCTATAACAAAATTCTTCAGTTTACGAGGTTTATTAGTTTGTTGAAATTTAAGTAGTTTTCTGTACGGATGTGCGCTTGGACTGAATATCTGAACCGAAACTCGGACTGGATCGATCCGAATTAGGATCAAATAAGTTATTTGGGTCGATTCTAGGGTATCTTTTTTTTTTTTTTGCCAAATTCGGGTTTTGAGTTATTCGGGCCGGGTTACCCAAATAAATGTTTAATCCGACCAAAAAGACCGACCCGAAAGTGAATAGTCACTCAAACTGAATAACCAAAATAAACCGAAATGACCGAATAACCCAAATAAACCGAAATGGCCCGGATAACCCAAATAAGGATCTTCTGTATCGAGTTTAAGAAAAAAATATTAAATTAATATTTTTTTTCTTGAACTAAATATAGAATTTCCTTATTTGGGTTATTAAGATCGTTTCGGTTTATTTAGGTTATTCAGGTCATTTCGGTTTATTTTGGTTACTCAGTTCAAAAACATAGTATAAATGTTTATTTAGGTTATTTCGGTCCTATCGGGTTAATAACCGAACCAAAACCCGTATTACCTGAACCGAACCGGTCTGTATTAGTATAACCAGTTCGGGTTTCGGTTCCTATTTTTCATCCAATTCAGGTTTTAGATTATTCGGGTTCGGATTGGTTCCGGCCTGAAACACATCCCTAGTTTTCTGTATGAAGTGGAATGAATTAATGGAATATTACAAACATTGAAAAGTTTTATTTGTCTGTTATACTTGTATACAATTAACTATTGAGCATTCCTTATTTATTACACTTGACTGAATTCGATCCATGGGGATGGGATGAGAGTTTTTTCTATTAAAGATAACTAGGTTATAACCTGTGGAAACCACGGTCGGTATATTTAAAATTTTTATATAAATAAAAAACTAATAAATATCAAAATAAACCAAGATTTTATCAATTGTAAGTAATTATGAATTAATTCGTAAAGCAAAATAAACATAATAATATTATTGGGATATGATTTTGTATTTTCAAAATTTGAATTGAATTTGATTTATTACCAAAAAAAGAAAATAATAAAAATCATAAAAAATACCACATGTCAAAAATACATTCAAAAAAACCGATACATGTTATTTTTAGGTTTTATTTATTAAAAGAAGTAGAACTAGATTACCATAACATGATATTTTTTTCCTTAGTTTATCATCTTGTTTTTTTCATTTGGTTTTATCAATTTATAACAAACAATATATTTAAATGAACATTTCCAATTCTTTCAACTACAATAAAACACCATAAGGAAATGTAATGATCGCTTACATAACTTGACACATTGCGTAACATTATTCAACTCATTTCATCATACCATAAATACCTAACAGAGCATTATGTACGATTTTTGTTGTTTTAATTCACTTTCACTAAGGGTGAAAGATCGTTATTAATGATTATACAAAATCAGAGTAAATGAAGTTATCATATATGTTGTTGAATATAGGTGACCAATTAAGAATGTTGATGTCATAATCGAACCGAAAGAACCAAAAAGGCATGTCAATTCCACTGATCATGTGACGCCGCCACTTCAACTATGACTATTGGGTGACCATGATCACCTCGTGTAAATTGATCATAGTGTGAGGTAGGACAATTTTCCCATGCCCAATGGATACAATCTAAATTTTATATCTTTCTAGGAAAGCCATGTACGATTGCATAATGGACTTGCAATTGAATGGTGTCATTGCGTGTAGGCTTACGTAAATATTTTGGATCATAAATCTCAATCACATGTTTTCAAAAATAGTGGAGACTATCTCGTGTGATCCTAACGGAGATCCTAAAACTCTCATCCAACGCACCAGGAAGGATGTCATATGCCAATTGACAATGTGTAGTTGTGTATTTTTGTAAGGGAGTGAAATCAGGTGTACCTCTAGCATCGAAACATTGTTGGAAATAACTACACTCCCTCATCACGTCTTCGACTATACATCATATAATGGTTTGAACATTTTGAACCTCTTTCGAAAATAATAGCCTTGAAAAGTGGCACCTTATTTGGCCAAAATAGGAACCAGAAATGGCGGTTTCTATCTTTAATATATATTAACACATAAACTTTATGGCATCATCTTAAACAATATAAGCTCTTGATTATATTTCAATCCTATGTTTTCAATCCTTGGATCAAACCATTGACATCATCTTCCCCAAATGGAATGCATTTAATTCAAATAAAAACTTTATAATTGTCAAACAAAATTAACTTATATCCGTTGAAATGAAATGTATTTAATTCCAATAAAAGCTTCCCTTATTTTAAATCTTAAAATTTCGGTTATAAATGTTTTAATATGGTCAACTTTAAAAACATATTACTAAAAACCATTTCAATTATGACATTAAATATCAACCATTAATATAAATTCGTTTATATTTGTAAACCATTAATATAAAATCCATTTTTATTAGGAAAACATTAATACCAAAAAATCATATTCAACTTATCACATACATATATGATTCATCCTTGATTCCATGGCTCACACTTATTTTCAATCGTTGGTTTTTTCTTCAAACATTCTCCTAGAACATCATAATTATTGCTTATAACTTCATCATCATTCCCTGCTTCAAACATTTATTGCTATGCACTAGAAGGTCTATACATTCTTTCGCTTTTTATATTTTTTTCGATTATTTTTTTGTTCATATATCAAATATATGTATTCATATATTTCGATTTTCTTTGTCAAAAATTACATGAAATTGGTTAACTACTTCTTTGAAACTTTTCAAATAAACAGGAAAAGATAGTACATACCTTTAATCTAGGAAAAAAAAGTGCTTTGTTGGAAACCAATTAAAACACATTATAGCAAAGTACTTTGATGGAATGACAAATGCACCCCTACCTATTTTCTTGTTCATGGTAATCAATTTTTTTGTGTATTCGTTTAGCATGATACTTTCATTTTTTATCCAAAGGGTAAATCATTAATTTAGTATGTATAATGTTCATCAGAAGGGTAAATCAATAATTTAATTTAAACATGGATCAAATCGTGAGATGCTACTATTTCCATTTGTTTGATTATCTCAATCTCGTTACTGTTTTTGATTGTATATAATATCTTAAATTGTTGGGTGATATTGAGATGACACGTGTACTAAAATGATTCTTTTAGCATGAGACTTCCATTTTTTATCCGAAGGATAAATCATTATTTTAGTATGGACAGTGTTCATCAGAAAGGTAAATCGGTAATTTAATGTAAAAATGGATCAAATCGATTGCTACTATTATTTTAGTTTGTTTGATTATCTCAACTTGGTTATTGTTTCCGACTTTAATGTTGAATATAATAACTTCATATTAACCCATTTTTTAGGAATGCACTTTTAGAGTATATTTTTATAACATATTTAACAGTAACATGTTGTGATTTTTTTGTGTTTTAGTGTCTCTTTTAATTTATATTTTATTCACTATTAAAGGGTTGAATTTCATAAACAATTTAATCCAAAAGTGTTAAACTATAATTATTCTAATTTGTATATGTTTGTGTACGGAAAATACAACATTTCAAGGATTTCTTTCTGTGACTAACAACATTATGTTTCTATTTTTGAAATCTCATAAAACATTACATAAGATTTTTTAGCTTAACATATTATATCATTCAGTCTAGACTAAGTCAAACAAAACAACAATGTATTGTTTTTTATATTGCATGCTTAACCTATTAACTTGGACTAGATCTTCAATAACCTGTAACATCCAATAAATACGGTCCAAAATTTTCATTTTTAATTTATAAATAAAACCATAGTAAACCAAATTATCTCATAAAAACATATGTGATACTATCTTAAAACATCATATCAAAACACTGTATCAAAATCACATGTCCAAACATCAGAGTAAATCATCCCAGGCTAAACGTTGTGATGTGTGCAATGCAGTCATCCCGAACTCTTCCCCTTACTAGCGGAAGTACCTGAAACCAAAAACTGAAAACTATAAGCACGAAGCTTAGTGAGTCTCCCCAAACTACCACATACCATACACATAATCACATAACACATAACTTGGGCCTAGCCCACCACATTGGGCCCCGCCCGGCATCGAACCAAAGTCTGGCATCGGGCTTCGCCCGACATCGGACCAAAATCCGACATCGGGCCCCACCTGGCATCGAGCAAAGCTCAGTATACATAAGCATATCAACAAATACATATATGTAACTTCCCAAAAATTGAGACCAATTTTTTTTTTCCATTTTTAATTATATTACTTGTAAAATTGTTTAAGAAAAACATTATTGATATCATATGAACTCACAAACCATAGTTACATGTATCAAAACAATATCATCAAATAGTAATAATGTCAGAGTACAATCCCAGTACAATCCCATAAATCTCAAATGTGGAATCATGTGTGTGTGATGCGTTGCTACCCCGCCGGCTCCTTCCCCTTAGACAAAGAGGTACCTGAAACCAAAATTGAAAACCGTAAGCATAAAGCTTAGTGAGTTCCCCCATCATACAACATACCACATAATAGTGCATATTCCTCAGTATCTTTCAACCGGTAACTGGGAACTAACCTCCCCTTTGGTACCTTTCAACCGGTAAGTGAGAGCTAACCTCTACTTTGGTATCTTTCAACCGGTAGCCAGGAGCTAA